TTTTCTTTGATGTGGAAATTCTGAAAATATTATTATGCTTTACAAAATTGGAAGTATTAAGATACACACTTCTTCTTTGATTGTACCAGGAGACTAATAGGAAATACCGAGTATATTTGTAAGGTCTCTTAATAATTAAATAGAAGCCTGAGTAAGTTCTGTATTGAGATGATAGTAAGTCTGTTTCCACAGATGTTACATAGAAAACGTTTTCCTAAAGTTCTTCACTTCTTCTATTTCCAAAAGTTCAGCCATCTCACTTTTGCATCCTTTGCCATGTTTCAGTTGCACCTCTTGTCCATACCTCAGGGTCCTTCTGCCCTCCGTATATGCATCTCTAGTGGAAGAAGTAAATAGGTGAAAGCTAAATACCAAGCTCTTTTTTATAACTTAAGAAAGAAAACATTGTGGAGAGCAAATAGAGAAAACATTTTCACCTGATATATTGGTTGTACAATTTAAAAAATCCTCGTAAGAAACTTCCAAATTGAATTCACTTTGAAGCTGGAGTCGATGTAATAGCAAGTATCTTATTTTAGTCTTGTTAGTGTTTGGAGCTATTGAAATAAATCCTAGCTAGTTGGCACTGCCTTGCTTCTGAAGCCATATTGTTCCTTTTATACAGGAGGAGATGTGTGGAGAATTTTTTCAACTCTTAAGAGTAGTAAAGACTTTGCACTGACGAGTAGCATTCAGAGAGGGGGGAAACATGTTTGCGTAAAGATATTTCCATCAATTGATTCTTACTTGCTCGCTGTGATTTCCTTCACTTGGGGCTCATAGCTGAACCGTAGTGCTTCCAGTGTGTGCTTGAGCACCATTGAGCTGTTACAGCTGTACTTACAGCTTGCTTTTGGAAAATCCCAGGAGCATGCACTTTTGCACACCTGCTAAGAAGATTATCGCGAAGACGGTAACAGCTTTCACTTGTGAAACTGTCATGTGAACATCAATTTGGTGCGAGCCCTGCTGACTGCAGCACTAATTGAGCCTTTTTATAAATCATTGCTCTACCGTCTTCCAGGGTAAGGCTGTAGACAGATGTTCATTTAACCAGACATCTGTGCTGGTTTAGGACGTTACTGTATCCCAGATGTTACACCACTTTTTAAGGTTATTGGCCTTGTTTTATGTATTTAGTACCATCGTTGTGCTCAGCATTTCACGTAGAAAGGAGGGCAATTCCTCCCCCAAACATTTTAAAAGTTATGGCATTTGAGAAAGAGGATGAAGATGTGGGATGGTTCCTCTGAAAACAGGGTGTTAAGACTGACGCAAGATCCACCAGATTAGGAAGGTGGCTTCCAAGGATGCTCTGAACAAATCAGCATCTGATTTTGATGGTAGCAGCTTACAGAAAAACTTGTCTGGCTGTAACTTGTGGTTGATCAGAAACTGGGAGTGACAAGCATCTAAGGCTCATTGCTGCTTCAGTTATTTCACATGGTTCCAGAAGATACTGGCCTATATAGCCTTGTTACTGATGACCTTGAGGAAAGAATGAGTAAGATCCAAGGTGTCCTGTTGATCTATCTATCTATATATTTATATTGTACTCATAAGGTTTGGAGGTGTGGGGGAGAGGGGGCAGGGTTATCCTGAAGAAAATGTGCATTTAAAATAAAAATAAATACTGACAACAAAACAAATGCCACAAAGATACACTTTTCCATTTTATCCTAGTGTTGTACATCCACCCTGCTCTGTGCAATTCAGCAGAAGCCATTCAGATGCTTGGTGATCGTACTGTGAAGCTGTCAAAGCTGGGAAATAACCTCAGTGAGGTTTTTAACCCACTGCAAATGGAATAGCTGATGATCTGCTGAGCTCTGTGACAGGTTTTCCTGGGCTTTTTTTATTTTTTTTTCCTGTGGGCTGAATTTGATTAGTTGCTTACAGTAATTTTATTTATTAGGATGTGTTTAAAGAGGGAGATTAATGGAAGGCATTAGCTGAGAAAGCTAATTGATAGCAAATTTTGGAGTAGGTCACAAAGGATTTTGATAAATGACTCAATGTTTTGTGAATATGAGTGAAACTATTGTAGACAGTAATTATACTCAACTGGAGTAATGCAATATTTGTTGCTTCCAGTTTGAGAAAGTATATGCTAGAAAAACAAGAACAAAGTGACTGATATTTGTGTATCACTGCTTCCCTTACAGTGGCACTTGAGATGAGCTGCTTGGGAACTGGTCTTCTGTGGGGAAGTGCTGGGTGTTACTGGGGGGCTGGGTGATGAGATGCATTGCTTTCTTGCACACTTATGAACTCACCTGCTTTTGACCTATTTGGGATTCAAAGGATACAGCTTTGTAGAAGATCTTCTAGTGAGAACAGGCTTAAGTTTCAGCCTGGTTAGTAACTAAGACTCAAGTCCTGAGAGCAGAATAAAGTGCTGTTTCAATTTTTAAAGTGCTTTTTCAAATTTATTTAAAGAAGAATAGAGAAAGCAAATAAAAAAATAATTTTTAAAAAAGTGGCATGGTTTGTTAGGGAAAAATCCAGGCATAGGCAAACCAAGGAGGATGGGGAAGGGTCTGGAGGGCAAGGGGTGTGAGGGGTGGCTGAGGGCCCTGGTTTGCAGGCTCCATAATCTCCTACAACTGTGAAAGGGAGGTAATGAATGAAAATAAGTTAATGATATAGTCTAGTACTTTTTTCCAACTCCTTCAGTACCTCATTTCCAACCTGCCTGGCGTTACAAAGGCTTTTAGTGGGATCCTGGGGGGCAGGGGTGGCAAATAACACCAGATGTGGTTATTTCTTCTGCTGAAAAGAAGCATTTACTTTTAATTAATTAAAACCTCTGATTTTCTTCAGTGTTACATAAGTTGCTAAAGTATGGCAGGGAGTTCAGGGAGTGAGTAGTGCTCATTTAAACACAGTGCCTGGAAGGGCCTTGTGAGTACTTTGGTGCCTAATATACAAAATGTAGCTGTGAGAGGAAAACCCCAAACCATGTGCAAATTATTAGATTAACACAGAACAGTCGTTTTCTCTGCCCAGAGACCTTTGCCTGAAGAAATGTATTGGGGAACACTGTGAAGCCTTCGAGCATTCCTGCAGCAAGTGGCTGTGTTTACCTGCATACTCCCACATCCATTTGGTGCTGGCTGATGTGGGGCTGTTTTGTAGAACCACAAGAAAAGTAATGGCGTGGATATCTGGTGCCATGTATGGCAGCTTCTTCAGATGGCACTGTGCAGTTTGTTCTGGTTTAAACATATATGACACTTCAGTTTTAAGGAGCTGCACTGGAGGCTTGTAGAACTGTGGATAATTGGAGGGGTTGCTGTTTTCTTTTCTGGTCTCAGAAGACTGTGTATGCTGTCACTGCTCACATATGAGCAGGCTAATAGAATGGTATCCTCCTATCCGTAGGGTTATGGTTACTCCCACATTTTTCAGCTTTATCTGAACAAATCTTACAACAATGCCAAGAAGATGAAAGTCCTTCTATCCTTGATCTCTTCCTACTTTCCTCTTTCCCATTTGTAAATGAGTGGTTTTTCAGCCTTTGGTTTTAGCTGTGTTATAGTTGTTCCTTTCCTCCTTTGCAGTGACAAAACTGCTCACAAACTTCAATTAGAAGGAATCTGGTTAGGTGGGACCAGGCAGGCCCTCCTTGCTTTCCTGCAGAACATCACACGTTGGCTCAGAAGGTGGTGGTCTGTCCCAGCTCTGTGCATGTGGTCGTCTTTGATCCTTGAGAACCAAAAGCATTGCACTATAGAGTGTGTATTTTTTAGCTGATGTAGCAGATCTAGTTCTGAGGTAATGCTACTGCTAGATCTCAGTATTTTAACAGTTGGGAAAAAAAAAAAAAAAAAAAAGGAAATGCTGATTTTAGGAATTATTTCATCACTTAAAAAAAAGAAGAAAGAAAAGAAATCAACAAAGCTTCTCCCAACATGGAACTAAACCCAAACGTTTCAGAATTCTCCATGAAAGAGGAACCCAAGGGGTTTCTGTTCAGGGAGCTGCCTGGGTGCCATCCTGATCCAAGGCGGGCTGGTTGGGTGAATGGTTGCCTTGGAGCTCTGGGACTTTGGAAACACCGAGATGCCTCGAACTGCTCAGAATTTGTGTACTTGGAATCAGAAGCTCCCAGGGTCTCTCAGGCTTTCTGTCAGCACGCCAGGCAAGTTGCCAAGTAGCCTGAAAATTTGGGAGGCAAAGTGCCAGGCTCTTGGCTCCCTTTCAAATGGGCTGCTGAACAGCTGGGAATCTGGATGCTAAGGCTTCTCAACAGCCCACCGTGCTCGTTGTTGAAAAGCCAGGCAGAGGAAAAAAGGGTGAAATTTGTGATACAAGGCTCTCTGCTTTCTGTCAGACCTTGGTTGAAATGGAGCTAGATCTGTCAGGTATCTTAATTTTGATTTGCTGTGCTGACATTAAGTCTTTCTTAAGGTGGTAGCATCTAGGCATCTCTCATAATGTTCTGTTTTAAGTGTCAGAATATTTATTTCACTGAAAATAAAACATGTTTTGATTGAATTGCTTTAGCATTGGTATTATTTGATATAAATTTCTTCCAAGGGTGCTTGGTGCTTTAAATGGTTTAGTGTCTGTTTTATTGCATGTGGAACTACTGGCCAGATTTTGGGTTGTGCTCTCTGACATCTCAGAAATGATCTCCTTTGTAATGAAAGGATGTATAGGAAATAGAATACTCACACAATGTACTGATTTAGTGTTTTTGGTGTGTTTTTTTTAAAATCAGAATAAGTGTGGTTGAATTTTTCTTGTAATAATAGCCAGAAAATTTAAGGGCCTGACTGAAGTGAGTGTTGTTTGTTACCTAAAACAGGAAGAGAGGGGAGGAAACGTTTGATTTGCAGAGCACTCAAATCACTGGTTAGCTTGAATGTTGTACAATTTAATGCTGGTAATTATTCCTCCAAAATGAAATTATTTAAGTTGGGAATAAAGCTTATAATAAAAAACAATTAAAGATGCTTTCAGTTTATGAACAGTTTTCTCTTCTATGTTTGCAGGCCTCGGAGTAGAGGAAAAACTGCAGTGGAGGATGAAGACAGTATGGATGGTTTGGAGGCAGCAGAAACAGAAAACACTGTGGAAACAGGTAATGAGAGTATGGCATTGATGCTATCTGGTTGTTGCTTCTTCCTTGGAAATTCATTTTATTACACAGAACTTTGGCAAGGAAGAAGTATTTAATTTGGTAGTATGACACATGCATTTGGGCAGATATTTAGAAATATGTTATTTAAGTCTATATCAATTAATGCTCTTTGAACTTATTTCTTTTAAGTAGTCTAATGAAGATGTTCTCCTTGTTATAGTTAGGTAGTGGCTCTTTCTGTTTGTTTATTTTAAGGTAGTAGCTAACAAAATTAAAACCTCTGAAGCAGAAGCTGCTATTTTTAGGATACCTGTGGAAATACAGCATTACTGGCTGACTTGTATCCTCAGCTAACTAAAGCAGATGATATACCAAAGGGGTGGCCAGGATAACCTCACGTTAATGCCTTCTGCTGCTGCTTGGGAAACAAGAGTGTTCTTGCTTTTGTAAATATTTGTTATGATAGTACCCAAATGCTTCAGTTACCAGAGAGATCACATTGTACTGGACTGAGTGTTGTTGCAACAGTTTGTGAGTTCTGTTCTGGCAGGTTAAGAGTCTAAAGAGACAAGCAGATGAGCTAACACACAAGATGAAAGCTGTGCTGAAGAACTGTCATCTCTTTGCCAGGCACGTGTCTGTAGCCATTTGCCTGTTTTTAACCAGGAATTGAATATATGTAGAAGGATGAACTCTGCCAGGAAGGATTAAGCCAGGGCCAGTTGGTGGAAGGTTTTAGATTTGACGGAAACAAAAACCTTAAAAATGCATTGAGACATAAGGGATTATCAATTTAATTAGGTAGCCCTATATGCATAATGAGCAAAGTGGAAGAAAGCATAGACACACAACAGCAGAAGCTGATGGTCAGGGGGGGCAGATGGATGAAAATGCCAGCTGAGTTAGGGGACTTGTTAGTTATACTTGTAGCTGTTAACTAAAGAGGTAGAGTTGTGAGGTCTTTAAATCTGAAGAAAAGAATCTGTGCTTAGTGTAGATGTACAGGGAGAACAAGCAGAGGACCTCAGAAGAGCAAGGTGTTTGCTGCAAGGTTTTATATAGGCCATACAGCAATATGGTTGCAGTGGTTAAAGCTATGAAAGTGGGGACTGAAATTGTCTAATGGATGGAGAGTGAGCTTTGACTGTGTATGCTGGTCTCTTACTTGTAGATGTTGTCATCAGGTTTAAGAAGGCTTTTTACTCAGGATCGCGTGCTTTTGGGAGTGTCATGAGTGTTTAGTCACAACCTCTGTTGAATTTAAGTGTTGTTAGTGGTTTGTGGTGAGAGGCTATATTAAAGCTGAATATAAGAGTGTATCATTATTTACTTCTGCCAGTTTTTTTTCTTCCTCTGGTAATAAGCTGCTGGTAGTAGTGAACTACTTACTAAAGTTGAAATTGAAAAAGTTATAACAGGTATTTTTCTGTAGAAAAACAGCAAGGTAAAGAAAGAACTTGTTCTAAATGTGTGTATTCCATTCATAACTCCTCCCATCCCATGTGGTAGAAACATTCTCCTGAAAATCAGGGAAGAAGACAGAAATTGTGATTCTACCTGCCCCTTCCTCCAGTTAAGCAACTGCTGATATGCTGTTGTTTAGGGATTCTACTGATGGGTAGATATATTTTTTGTTCTTACATTTCATTATTAACAAAGATTCTCTATAGAGATCGGAGAGCATGTTTTACTTTGGAGGAGAGGCACAAAGAATTATTTCTGAATCTCCAGGAGTGACTGTAGATAAATCTCTCCATTATCCTTCATCAAACTCATCCTCGCTGCCACAAAGGGCTGCAGCTCATACTAAAGGTGCTGCAGCAGTGGAGCACTGTGCTGGAAATCCCTGAAAGCCATGGACTCCTTTCTTTGTGCTGCTGGAAGTGATGCACCATCACTTCAGCACTGAGTTCAGGATCCTTGTTACAAACCGTCTATTAAGAGAAAAGAAGCCTCACAGAAATATGTAGGTCTGAAATCCTGTTGTCACACTGAGCATTTTGATAGAGACACAGTCACAATTATTTTAACAGTTGAACACGGTGTGGTTTGGTAGAGTTTTAATTGCACTGACTGAAAAGGCTGCTGCTTCTGAAACTCTGATAAGTGCTTGTCTGTGTTAATAGAAAAATGTGGGAGAAAGAGGAACCCCAGTTTTTACTCCACACGGTTCTCACATTGAAGTGTACTCATGGTCCAGTTTGTGAATTTCTTCTTTGGCTGAAAAGGTCTTTTATTTTTGTTTTCATGAAAGTGGTAGACTTGCCAACAATTTGTTGTAGTAGTTGACAAACCAAAACATGATATAGAAATATTATGAAACTCAGAATGAGATTGCTTGAATGTACAGACTCTTGATGTGCAACTTCTGATGTATTTCAATTCTCCACATTTCTGGATTCCTTTTCATTGTTTGTTTTTTTGTGTAGAGAATAGTTAAAAAAAAAAAAAAGAAAACATTCTTGACTTTTTCTTGTGAAGCATTATTTTAATAAGGCATTAAAATTACTCACACCTGGAATAAAGGGTACATTTTAGCTGTTGAATCATTTCAGGGAGTGTGGGGGGATGCTATGTGCACTGAAGTTGTCATTTCCTTTCATAATGTTGACAGAAATCTTTGTTCAAAAGAAAAAACTGCAGAAATCTTCCTGAAGTGACTCTACAGTAATTCTAAAGCACAGCCATTTTAATTGCATTCAAGGAAACAAGTTGCTATCCTAAAAATTTTGTGATATAATGTGTTGAAAGAAGCTCAGTTAGAACCAAGTCTGTGCATAGAGCCAGGGCTGCCCTGTCCCAGGTGCAGAATCCAGTACTTGTGGTTGGTGAATGCCCAGCCCTCTCGTCTGTCGAGATCTCTCTACAGTGCTTCTATCCCCTGAAGGAAGTCAACAGGTCCTCTCAATCTGTGATTGTCCACAAACTTATACCTTCAAGTCCTGTATCCAAGTCACTCATGGAAACATTAAAGACAAATGTCCCTAAAATGGAGCCCTGCAGAACCCCCACTGGCTTCTTCAGAATGATGTAATCCAATTTACTGTAAGTCTTTCAGCCCAATCCATCAACCGTTCACTGCATTATGTTTTTATCTAGCTGTATATTAGATGCTCTGTGTGTATGGGTACTGTGAGAAACAGTATCAAAAGCTTTGCTGAAATTCAGAAAGATTACACATGGTTTCCAGTTGGCTAGGTGGGTAACACTGTCATAAAATGAGATAAAGTTGGTTAAACAGGACTTTCTCCTTGTGAACTTGTGTTGGCTGTTACCATTGACTTCATTGTCTTTCAGGTGTTCCTCAGTAACTCCCAGAGTAATGCTCTCTACAATTTTACTGGGCACCAAAGTGAGACAGACAGACCTGTGATTACACTAGACTCTTCTTTCTTGCCCTTCTGGAAAATGGGGACTATGTTTGCCAGTTTCCAGTTGACTGAGACCTCTCCATGTTCTCAGATCATTGAAAAAAGTATTGTGAGAGGTCTTCAGATGACATCAACTACCCTGGAATGCATCCCATTGGGTCCCATAGACTTACTGCTCCCGCTGCAGCAGGAGATCCTGCACAAGTTCAGGATCAGCTGTGAGTTTATTATGAATGAGAAGGGAAATTTGGGAAAAGATCTTCTTGGAGCTTACTCCAACTTTTTCCTAATAGGAAGCAAACAGGACAAAAGCTACTTGTGTTGAATCAATAGACTTTCAGGTTCCTGTCAACCTCAGGGTAGATTCTTTTTCTTTATCTACTAGATTTATCTTTCTGGTAGATTTCTTGGCTTCTACTTTGCTGACATTTATTTTGTGACTTCACCTTCTCTTTCCAACTGTTTCGGATTTGTTTTGCCTGTTCCTTGCTTCATTTTTCTTCACCATGGTTCTCATTAGTGACTTTCTCACTGGTATTTCTTCATCCAACCAATACTGAACTAACCCATCCCTCTTACTATCATTTTGTAACCCATGGAATCACTGGCATATTGAGTTTTGAAAGCACCTTGTGATCCATCTGGTCCTAACCCTGCTCTAGCAGGCTCCCTAGAATAAGTTGCCCAGAGCCATGTCTGTGTGTCTTCTGAAGATCTCCAATGAGATGGACTTGACAGGCTCTCTAGACAGCCTGTTCCAATGCTCTGCAGACACCTGCACAGTTAGGTGCAAATAGGGGACTTCCCTGTGTTTGAAGGAAACTCCTCTGAGCTTGTGCCAATTGCCTTTGTCCTGTCAACACCTTCATCTCACTGAAGGTGTGTTTAGAGAATACTGTTTTACTGTATGTCTTCTTGTTCTGCTCCTCTCCATAATATTTTACTTCTGATGATTAAGTCTCTGTTGTGCCCCCTGAAAAACACAAAAAGGCACTGGCAAGCATTGTGCCTGTCTGTGCACATGCAGTGCAAACGTAAAACTGCTATTCTAAAGAAATAGTATAACAAGTGTGTCCTGGTAAATATTCCATAGGCTTTGTGGCCCTTTGATATTCATGAATGCTTGGCTTTTTGTTTTTTTGACATCTTCCATTAGTTTCAGCAAATTTCTGCGCTTGATGTTTTCTTGGTTCTGCATTTAAATTCACAGGAACTGAATTCCTTGATTATTCTCTCTCCGTTTTGAGAACACTTATAAAGCATCCATCTCTTCACAGATTCTGTAATTCTTCCTGTCTTTGTGTCACATAAAAATGTTGGGATTCAAACTGATCAGGGAGAAGCACAGTGGGATAAGAATTTTAACTGCTAAGTCCCTTGGGAAACTCATAGTAAATCCACTGGGTATTCTGTTTACTATCTGTACTGCATACAGCAAATCTTAAAGTAAATTATACTTAATAACAAACCCTTATTTCCCTGTGGTGTTTGGAGATTTCAGAAGTGATAATACATAGAACATTCAGGATGATTTTGTCAATGCCTGCATTATCATCCCCAGTAACCTTATCATCTGCTGCAGGGATGTTGCCTGGCCAGTTGCTTTCTTGTTGGACTTAATATGAATTT